TCATAAGACATACCGCAAATAGAAAATAGAATTTAGAAAATAGACATTGCATGTGAATGAAGCCTAACAAACCCACATACATACATACACATTCATTACACACTGCAAGCGTGCTGCTCAAGCTAACTTTGGTCTTTAGAATACGTATAAGAAGATTTTTTTGTTTAAGTCAATTAAATCTTTGAATGTGTCTTCAACAATTTGTAATACTGAATCCTATCTGAATATGCACAGATAAGGAATGTTAAGTTTTTATTTGATGTCATTTTTATGTACAGACACAGATGTGTCTGTACATATTGCCATCACCTGCGTCTGTCGTCGCCGTCGCCGATGCCGATGCCGGCGCCGTGCACTTTCCTTGTAAACACGATAAGTGGAGGGCAGTTTTACTTTTTGGCTTCATATTTACAGAGCTGATGAATATTCATAAAATGCAGGTCAAGTTCGAAAATCAGCATGATCGGGCCATTATTGTAGAAGTTATGCTGTTTTTTCAATTTTCAGCATATATGCAACCCTGTAAACACATTTTAAGGAAAACAGTTAGGCCTGTTGTCATGAAACTCACAGGAGTTATCAATCTTGCTAAAACGCAGGTCAAGTTCGAAAATCGACATGATCGGGCCACTATTTTAGTAGTTATGCTGTTTTTTTCATATTTCAGCATATATGCAACACTGTAAACACAATATAAGAAAAACAGATAAGCCATTTGTCATTAAACTCACAGGAGTGGTCAATCTTACTAAAACGCAGGTTGAGTTCAAAAATCAGCATAATCGGGGCATTATTTTAGAAGTTATGCTGTTTTTTCACATTTCCTCAGATTCAACTCTTAGGCACGTTAACAGTCTCATTATTGAACTAATAAGATACGTAAAAGTGTTTGTTTGACATTTCCTGCATCTTTACAACATTGTTAGTTGATTATGTAAAAATGATGGTAAACTTGTTATCGTGTATTGTGTAATAAAGTTTCAAAAATGGAAATAAACTCATATCATTGCAGTTTGTCAGATTCAATCATTCACTATGTTCAGAATTTCAGAATGGAGGAAATTGGACATTTAACACTGTTGTATTGATATTTTTCCCATCTTATCAATTTCCTTAGTTGATCGTATAAAAATGGCAGTAACCTGTTAATTTTATGTTAAAAAAATTAAAAATGGAAAAAAAAAAACATTACAGAACAGTGCTGTCTTGTTTACATTTTGGCATTTTCAAGTTGTGACTTCGAAATTCCATGGGCCTGAAGACCTTTGCTAGTCACATTTTCTGAATATCCATGATACTAATATTTTATTATTAAAAATTGATGGTCATTATGCTGTTTAACATTATGTAATATTGCATCAAAATTTGAAAAAACCCATTTTGGGTACTGCACCCATGATGACCATTTAAGAAAAACCATGTCACTTACTGTTCTCAAACTGTACAGTAACTATGTACAGATGTGTCTGTACATATTGCCATCACCTGTGTCTGTCATCGCCGTCGTCGCCGTCACTGTCGCTGTTGCCAGCGCCGTGCACTTTCATTGTAAACACGATAAGTAGAAGGCAGTTTTACTTTTTGGCTGTATATTTACAGAGCTGATGAATATTCATAAAACGCAGTTCAAGTTCGAAAATCAGCATGATCGGGCCATTATTGTAGAAGTTATGTTGTTTTTTCACTTTTCAGCATATATGCAACACTGTAAACACATTTCAAGGAAAACTGATAGGCTTGTTGTCATGAAACTCACAGGAGTAATCGATCTTACTAAAACACAGGTCAAATTTGAAAATCAGCATGATTGGGCCACTATTTTAGTAGTTATGCTTTTTTTTCACTTTTCAGCATATATGCAACACTGTAAACACAATATAAGAAAAACAGATAGGCCATTTTGGCATTTTCAAGTTGTGACTTTGAAGTTTCATGAAGACCCATGCTAGTCACATTTTCTGAAAATCCATGATACGTATATTTTATTATTAAAAATTGACGGTTAACCATTATGTTATATTTGCATCAGAATAAAAGAAAACACAATTTTGGGTGCTGCTGTTATGATGACCATTATGGGAAAACCATGTTACTTATGATTGCAAAACTTTTAAAAAAGAAATACAGGACTAAAATGCAGCCTGAGTTGGAAAAAGCAGTCTCATTGGCTTTTTTTCTGGAAATTATATATTTGCAAAGTGTGAACTTGAAATCCCATGGGCCTGAAGCCTTATGCTTGTTACACATTTTAATTACATTGGTATTACCTGTTGAGTATAATTAAAATTTGAGGTTGAATTTGCAGTTTAACATAATGTACTTTTGCATCAGAATTGACAGTAGCCTAATTTGTGCATAGTTATTTCCTGCTTTTTGTCTGTACATTTGACAGCTTTGCTGCCTTGTTTCTTTAGCTGATATCAAAGACACAAAGAGTGTGTCAGATGCTGAGGACATCAAAGAAAAAGGTAAGACAGTAAGGGCAATTTAACAGAAATTCATTTAACACACTTAAAAAATGTAAACACACACAGATGGACTTTAGGGTGGAGACTCTCATGCACCAACACTGAGTTAAAATTCACTGTTCAGTTACCCAACATGCACATGTGCACACACACACACATACACACACACATACATGTACATGCACACTATGTTGTACAGTATGTCTGGCCTTTGACAGACTTAAGAAGATACTTTATCTTCAGAAAAATTAATGCTCTTGTTGAACATGCTTGGTATTCCTTAAAATTCAATTCTGTTCTTTCAGGTGATACCAAAGAAGAGAACAATGTAGCAATTGTTAAGACCCTAAGTATTGAGGAGCTAGGTAAGGCTGGAATTGCAGTAAAATAATTTTCACTTTAAATATACTTATGACACAGGCACACACATACACATTTATACACACCAAAATCATGTTGCTCAAACAAAGTCTGGTCTTTTAGCATACTTAAGAAGATAATTTTTAATGTCAGTTAAATCTTTGAATGTTCTTAACAAATTGTAATGCTGAATCCTATTTGAATATGCACAGATATAGAATGTCAAGTTTTTATTTGATATCATTTTTTCTTCAGCTGATATCAAAGACACAAAGAGTGTGTCAGATACTGAGGGCATCAAAGAAAAAGGTAAGACAGTAAGGGCAATTTAACAGGAATTCATTTAACACACTTAAAAAATGTAAACACACACAGACGGACTTTAGGGTGGAGACTCTCATGCACAAATACCGAGTTAAAATTCACTGTTCAGTTATGTAAATCTTTCAATGTATCTTTGACTGTGTTCAGTAATGTATTGAATCTTTGTTGTGCACATGTATGGGATGTTTAATTTGTTTTCCTGTCTTTCTTCAGTCAATATCAATGACACAACAACCCTGACAGAGGACATGAAAGAGAGAGGTAAGATAGCAGGAACAATAGAATAGGGATTTATTTATTACACTGACGGAATGTGATTGTGCATGTACACACACACTTACACAGCGTATTGATGTGTAAACACAGTATGGACTTCATTCAAGTTTTACTTGTCCAATTTGTTCATTCTAAAAAATTGTAAAAGATTTTCAGTACATTTGCATGCATGAAATAATATGGTACACTGACTACATATTGAAGGGTATATATATTATTGCATATTAGTAAGTAATATTGAGTCATACACCCCATTCTCATAGATTAGATCGACCTACGTTGGATCGACCTAACTCCCTGGGGGTTCACGCTAAATAGCTGTCAGCCGGGCGGACACGAAAGTTAATTACCCCTTAAAGCTTGTAGTAGGCAGGGACGGACACTTAAGGGGGATTATCTGACAGTAATCTAGTGAGACTCCCCGCGGTGATAGATCGATCTAAAAGTTGTGAGAACAGAGCCATATATTTCAGCTCCCAAGGACAGTCACCCATCTAGGTGGAGAAGATTTAAGTCTTTTCACATCTTGCTTCAGACGAAGATCAAGAACATAAATGGTTATTATTATTATTGTTGTTGTTGTTATTGAATAAATCTAATCACTCCTGATATTTAGAAATTTGACAGCATTTAAAAAAAGAACAGATTCAATATACAGTCACAAGGAAGTTCTTTTGTTTGTTTCCTTGTTTTGATGGCATCATAACTAAGTGAACTTTCAGTTTTTAAGAGGTACACTCTGTCAAACAGCTGGTAAAAGCTGTACAGTAATTATATGCAGGGGCGTAACCAGACCTTTAAAAATTGTACGCACAGATTTTTAAAATTCCCAGCAAAATGTAGACTAACGCAAGAGATGAAGGACAGCGTAATTACAGCATATGTACCACACATCGCAGCTTAATTTCCATTAATAATAAAATCATCATTTAGTCAGAAATATTCTCGCAATTAAAAAAGTTTCAATATTCTTATTACCCAGAACGGTATATTTATTTAAAAGGAGGCTAGCTTCGCATATGTGGAACCCCCTTCGAATAATCCTGGATCCACCTCTGAGTTGAACTAACATACGGTTTCATTCACTTTACATGTGGATGCATGGCTCCCAAAAACAACCAATTGTACGACACGACAGAGCTCTGATACATCTAAGTTTAATTATTTGTTTGTAAAAATTGCCAATGTCACCCTGTTAGTTTGGAGGGGTAAGCTGGGTCAAGTCCGTGTCAAAATTCTTTGAAGCTTTGCAGGAAAAATTCTTCCTTTGTTTCTCTAGCTCCTTAAACCTGGTGTCCAGATTTTATCTAGTGCCCCCAGGGGTGCGGGAGCTGCTCTTTGAGAATAACACTCAGCCAGATTTTTACCTGAGATAAATATCGCCAGCTAGAATGCGTTCGATATTCTCAAGAAAGAGGGTACAGAAGAGTTGAGGGCCACTGAACCCTCCAATTAGAGGTAAAGGAAGTTTCAGTTAGATGGACGATTAAGATAGGACTTAGGACTTGTTAAGGTTACAGGCAGGGAGGGGGGGGGGGGGGGCTGTCAGAACAATTGTGCCTATACAATTGAAACGGAGGATTTGTACATACACGTGACTTTAATAAGCAGAGGATTTTCTTTTATATTCCATGAAAAATACACTAAATTTATATAAAATAATATCATGGTTGGCCAAAAAATTGTACGCACAGTGCATCCGTGCGTATGCCTAGTTACGCCCATGATATGATAGCAGCTGGGAGCTACTGATTAGAGTTACTGTAAACATCTATTTACAGCTAATACATTTTAACTGATTTATATTTTAATATTTTCATCTTCTTATTTTTCAGGGTCATCATTGCAGAACTACTAATGCCTCTGTAGCAGCCAGTTAAAAACTTCAAATGACATTCTCTTAATTTTACAATAAAGTACAAATTTTGTGTAATCAAGTGTGTTTTTTCTTTCTTTTCTTAATTGAGACAATGATTCAACAACTTAAACCTCTCAAAAACAATGTCTTTTCGTGAGCAAACTGAAAAGAAATTTAATCACTTGATTGTCTCAGTTAGTGGATCAAAGTTTAAACAGACAATACAGCCCCACACATATTGATATTTAATTTTGAAAAAAAAAAAGGCTGTAAACAAAAAAAAGTTTTACGTACTACACCAGTCTCTTGCGATGACTCATGAATCATCCAATGGGACTACTGTAAAGTTGTGGGGAAAAATGAAATAATCTTATTGACAAAAATTAATGTTGCTTGATATAACATATGAGTCTTCCAATGGGGCTTTCATAAAAGTTGTGGAAAGAAGAATGAAAAAATATTAATACTAAATATCAGTGTTGTCTGATATAAAACTGTCTTGACACCAGAATATTATGAAACTTAAAGTGATACACTCTAAATAATTTTTCTGATCCCAATTACTGCTGAGTTTTAAGTAACTTTGAGAATAAAAACATGTCTTAGTTCTACTGGTCAAGATTTGCATTTGATGAAATGCACCAAATTTGTCCTTGCTGTGATGCTGATAGAAAGGTGGTCTCCTAGGCTTCTCTTCTGTTAATTAATCTGGAAAAATGTCACAGTATTTCTTCAGAAGATATCCATCGCTTTAATTGATTAAAATGTCTTTAAATAATGACATTGTTACACTGTAAAAGAATATATTAAATACCCAACTGCAGGAATCATTTTAGTAAGAAAACATGACCCTTTTTCATATTGTACACTTTACAGATAATGCAACTGCTAATGAATAGCTGATGACTTGCTAATGATTAAATTAATTAATTAATTTATACCACAAGAAGCAGTTTTACCTCTGCTGTCAGCTGTGGTACCATATGGTCTAGAGTTCTCCATGACAACAGGTCCAGATGATCGTCTGCAAACACATCAGAGCCTCAGCAACCATCCACAATTCCTGGTCCTTGGTCTCTACTTCTACAAGAAATGCGCCAAAATTCTGAAGGAAAAAACAACTCGACATCAAAACTGGCAAATATACAGATAGCAAAGAGCAACCAAAATTTCAACAACATTAGTAAAAGAGTTTAAAAAGTTCTAAAAGCAATCAAAGTGTTCACCTTAACAACAGGTAAAAGAAGTAAATGTTTTTTTACTCTTCACAAGCTCTGTTGGTTTTTTGATCATCATTACACTCTTCTATGTCAACAGGCTTTCAATATCTTAAGTTGCTATTAACTGGACACAACAGTTCATTAAACACTGGTACTATTCCCTGTGAATAAACAATGGGCAAATTTTACTTATGCATACATTGTGACTGATATAGTCAGAGAAAAAAGATAACATTTATCAATCTCTACCTTAAGATGAAACAAACAGGACTAAGTTTCTAATTAAAGTGAACCAAGAATGATTTTAAATTATCAGCTATAGGGTGGACAATAGATTTATTGAACAAGGATAGTATGGGAATCATAGTGATCAAAACACACAGACATATACAATGCCTGTAACATATACATACTTTAAACAAATAATTCTAAGGAAACAGATACAATGGCATCTAGGCAAGAATTATAACTCAAGGGTTGTAAAATTCTTAGAAAATCTCACACTTTCATATCAACAGGTATGTCTATAAAAAAGTAAAATATCTTTTTCATTGTTCCAAATATTTTTGTTTGGTTTGGTTTTCTGACCAGCCATCAATACTACTGTGTCTACCCTCTTTCATTATTTGATGAACATAACCACAAATGAACACTGGCAGTATTTCTTACGAGCAAAGCAAAATTACATAAAACTCAAATGGCTAGGTCATATAATATCAATTAGTGTAATGAGTGTACATGTAGTAACCTCAACTTTTGGACATACTGAGTAGCAAGTTTAATGACTATAATCACTAAGAAAACTAAACGATGTGGTACATGTACATATCTGGGGTACCTTGTAGGTGTTTTTCCATCTCTGTCTTAATGGTGTCAGTGGCTCACTGATATTACAGCTACTTTCAACAAAATGTTTTTCCAAAGCCTATTGGAACACGTACTCACCTGAAAGACAAAACTTTAAAGTTTTAAAACCTATAACTGAACTAAGATCTGTATAAATTTCTTAACATATACATGCCCAGTAGCCAGGGGGGGTGTGGGTCCCTTTTTGCTGGGAAAAAGTTCCCTCTGAGTAAAATTTTTTCTAAATACATGAGGAATACATGGTAAAAGGTCCATTTTTTGTCAAAAAAGAATCCCCCTTTTGAAACTGCTGGCTGCTGAAGGGTTTCAAAAATTGAATTAATAGAATGACTTATCACATCATGTACAAAACCAGCCTGGCATGTGTGACAACATGGACCTAGTTAGAGATCTGCTTATTATGTCCTTGGTGACAAATACAAACTGACTGATAAAATCACTTCTTGTCTTTTAACTAGCTAGATGTAGCTTGATGGTGTCATGTTACATGTTTACCAAAGCTTAGTGAAGTAATAACAGATAATTATATGCAATGGGTTGTGCAGATAACATCTTTAAATTATGGCATCTGAAGTATTGGAGAAAAATGACTTCAACCAATCAGATATGTCCACTGTAACCAGCAGTTAACATTGTCCAATAGAATGACTGGATTCAAGATGTTAAACAGGGGGTTCCTAATACAACTTTATGCATTGCTCAGTACAAAAACTAGGTGCATTGGTAATGTTAACAACAAGTTCATACAGAATCCAAATGGATATTCTTATGGTGCTCTAAGGGTTGAATTGTGAAGACAATTTCAGTATTAGAAAGGACATATCAAGCCTCAATAAGTCTTACACCTTATCCAAGTGACTGACTGGCTCACAGTAAAATGTTAGACAGTGGTATAACAACAACTGACAGGACTTTTCTGGAAAAGGAATGAAAAACCAAAAAAGGGGAATTATGTGAAATGTAGCCTTGGAATTAGGGCTCATTGTGACTAGTGACAAAAAGTTTTCAGTGATTAATCATCTTATGAAATTCAAGAAAATAATTATACTGGAGAGAAACCTTACAAGTGTAGATTTTGTGTCAAGATTTTTATACCACCAATTAAATTCTTATAGCATTCAGTAAAAATGTGCACAGGAGAGAGACCTTACAAGTGTAGATTCTGTGACAAGACTTTTACTCAAAAAGGCCACTGTACTAGGCATGAAAGAATTCATACCGGAGAGAAACCTNTATAGGGTGGACAATAGATTTATTGAACAAGGATAGTATGGGAATCATAGTGATCAAAACACACAGACATATACAATGCCTGTAACATATACATACTTTAAACAAATAATTCTAAGGAAACAGATACAATGGCATCTAGGCAAGAATTATAACTCAAGGGTTGTAAAATTCTTAGAAAATCTCACACTTTCATATCAACAGGTATGTCTATAAAAAAGTAAAATATCTTTTTCATTGTTCCAAATATTTTTGTTTGGTTTGGTTTTCTGACCAGCCATCAATACTACTGTGTCTACCCTCTTTCATTATTTGATGAACATAACCACAAATGAACACTGGCAGTATTTCTTACGAGCAAAGCAAAATTACATAAAACTCAAATGGCTAGGTCATATAATATCAATTAGTGTAATGAGTGTACATGTAGTAACCTCAACTTTTGGACATACTGAGTAGCAAGTTTAATGACTATAATCACTAAGAAAACTAAACGATGTGGTACATGTACATATCTGGGGTACCTTGTAGGTGTTTTTCCATCTCTGTCTTAATGGTGTCAGTGGCTCACTGATATTACAGCTACTTTCAACAAAATGTTTTTCCAAAGCCTATTGGAACACGTACTCACCTGAAAGACAAAACTTTAAAGTTTTAAAACCTATAACTGAACTAAGATCTGTATAAATTTCTTAACATATACATGCCCAGTAGCCAGGGGGGGTGTGGGTCCCTTTTTGCTGGGAAAAAGTTCCCTCTGAGTAAAATTTTTTCTAAATACATGAGGAATACATGGTAAAAGGTCCATTTTTTGTCAAAAAAGAATCCCCCTTTTGAAACTGCTGGCTGCTGAAGGGTTTCAAAAATTGAATTAATAGAATGACTTATCACATCATGTACAAAACCAGCCTGGCATGTGTGACAACATGGACCTAATTAGAGATCTGCTTATTATGTCCATGGTGACAAATACAAACTGACTGATAAAATCACTTCTTGTCTTTTAACTAGCTAGATGTAGCTTGATGGTGTCATGTTACATGTTTACCAAAGCTTAGTGAAGTAATAACAGATAATTATATGCAATGGGTTGTGCAGATAACATCTTTAAATTATGGCATCTGAAGTATTGGAGAAAAATGACTTCAACCAATCAGATATGTCCACTGTAACCAGCAGTTAACATTGTCCAATAGAATGACTGGATTCAAGATGTTAAACAGGGGGTTCCTAATACAACTTTATGCATTGCTCAGTACAAAAACTAGGTGCATTGGTAATGTTAACAACAAGTTCATACAGAATCCAAATGGATATTCTTATGGTGCTCTAAGGGTTGAATTGTGAAGACAATTTCAGTATTAGAAAGGACATATCAAGCCTCAATAAGTCTTACACCTTATCCAAGTGACTGACTGGCTCACAGTAAAATGTTAGACAGTGGTATAACAACAACTGACAGGACTTTTCTGGAAAAGGAATGAAAAACCAAAAAAGGGGAATTATGTGAAATGTAGCCTTGGAATTAGGGCTCATTGTGACTAGTGACAAAAAGTTTTCAGTGATTAATCATCTTATGAAATTCAAGAAAATAATTATACTGGAGAGAAACCTTACAAGTGTAGATTTTGTGTCAAGATTTTTATACCACCAATTAAATTCTTATAGCATTCAGTAAAAAATGTGCACAGGAGAGAGACCTTACAAGTGTAGATTCTGTGACAAGACTTTTACTCAAAAAGGCCACTGTACTAGGCATGAAAGAATTCATACCGGAGAGAAACCTTACAAGTGCGGATTCTGTGATAAAACTTTTAGAGACAAAAGTAATTGCAGTGCGCATGAAAGGATTCACACAGGAGAGAAATCTTACAAGTGTAGATTCTGTGAGGTAACTTTTACACATAAAAATTCTTGCATATATCATGAAAGAATTCACACAGGAGAGAGGCCTTACAAGTGTAGATTCTGTGACAAAACTTTCACTCAAAGAAGCCATTGCACAGAGCATGAGAAAATTCACACAGGAGAGAAACCTTACAAGTGTAGATTCTGTTACAGAACTTTTACTCAAAAATGCCATTGCACAGAGCATGAAAGAATCCATACTGGAGAGAAACCTTACAAGTGTAGATTCTGTGAGGAAACTTTCACACATAAAAAATCTTGCATATATCATGAGAGAATTCACAGAAGAGAGAAACTTTTAAAGTGTAGATTCTGTGACAAAACTTCTAAAGACAAAATTTCTTGCTTAGAACATGACAGAATTCACACAGGAGAGAAACCTTACAAGTGTAGATTCTGTGAGGAAACTTTTACACGAAAAAATTCTTGCAAATGTCATGAAAAAAATCACATCATGATCACAGATGAAAAAAGTCACATGGAAAATAAACGGGCAAACAATGAAGCCATAACCCATCATGAGGAAGAAAGAACAGAATACAATCATAAAGATGATGACACTTTTACCACAGAGAATATCACCATCATTACTGACAATGACGTCTATGAAATATTTACTGGCATAAAAAGGACCACGCAAGGTGTCATCACTACAGATATAAAAAATCCTTTGTACAGCTCTCAATGATATGTTCAGATGACAGAAACAGAAAACAAACTCTTACCATATAACTTTGCTCATTTTGGACAATTTAAGAACAATCAAATTTTGTAACTGATGCAATTTTATTTGCTCAGTGTTTATCAATTATTCTATACTTTGTAGGTTCATTATTCATAAAATGTTCAAATGATAAAAACAGAAAAAAACTAACACCTCATAACTGAGCTATTTTTCAGGCCTAACCAACTACCAGACTCGGCACCTAAGGATCCTGAATTAACCGGTGTCACATGAAGAAACCGTCGTCGTGAATAAACCGTTCTGACGGATCATTCACGCGGGGGTAGCAGTCTGTTGACTTACAGTACGTAGCTGCACATGCATTTCCAACATTTCCCCTTAGAGAAAGTCGTAGTATTATCAAACACACAATTTCTTTTTAGTGAAAATGACTAAACTCAACATTGTAGAGTGAAAAGATTTATACTACGAGTCTTAGATCTGCCAAGTTTTTCACACAGAGCAAAACAGGTGTTCTGACTGATACTCCGAAATGCGATCTGACACACACACCTTGAAAACGGGTAGTGTGGTCAGATATACCGGTTAATTCAGGATCCTTAGGTGCCGAGTCTGGTAGTTGGTTAGGCCTGTTTTTGGACATTTGAAAAACAATCACATTTTGTAATCTATACAATTTTTAATTTGTTCAGTGTTAATCAATAATTATTACTTTTATACTGCATAGGTTCATAATTCATCAGATCATTTACTTCCATGATTAGACACATTGTCTATGGAAGATCATCTATAAAAAAGAATTGTACTTAGTCAAATACAGTCAAATATTACGCTAGAAAATCCCTCTCTTCTACCTTTATTGTTGAAAACAGATAGAGAAATAGGCAAGTGTTTCATTTTCAAAGAACTTACATTTAGTAGATGAAAAGAATTTAAATTATTTAATTTTTATGTATGAAATTCATATATCCAATGACTTTTTAATGTATGAAATTTATATATCCAATTAGAGACAGAATAAAGGAGTTGAAAAAGAAACATCTTTTTCTTTATTTAACAAAATATCAAACTTCAAATGAATATTTGATAATACCAGACAAAGAAGACAGCTCTTTATAGACTTTAAAAACATAGGCTCTATTCCCATAGATTTTAGATCGATCTATCCCCGCGGGGAGTCTCACTAGATTACTTTCAGATAATCCGACTTAAATGTCCGTCCCGCCTACTACAAGCTGTAATGTCGTAATTAACTTTCGTGTCCGCCCGGCTGACAGCTATTTAGCGTGAACCCCCAGGGAGTTAGATCGATCTAAAGTAGGTCGATCTAATCTATGGAAATGGGGTGATAGATTCAATGACAGATAGGCAAGTCAGATATTGAAAGAGTTTAAAATCTCAAAAAAGAAAGAAAGAAAAATGGAAAAAAGAAAAAAAACAGGAATTATCCCTGCAGATGTGAAACTATATGCTTCGTCTACAAGAAGTCAATGTTTTACCACTTTTCCCTGGTTTTCTGACCAGCCATCAACAAGTCACTACTGTGTCAGCACAATTTCAATATTTTAATTTATCAACTGAACACAAGTTCACCTAACATTCTGTATCAGTGAGTCAGAGACATTTAATAATTCACAGGCAATTTCTGTAACTTCACATGATAACTTTTTATTGTAGTCCGTAATTCCACATGATATGTTATGTAAAGTCTAAAGAGGTAAAGTAAGCTTGTTGACTATTCTGATTAATTAATCAGAATAATCAACAAGCTTACTTTAATAAGATGTTTAGTTCATGAAGCCATTGTTTTGGTTTGATACTAAAGAGAGTAATTCCCCACATTTCATTATAATGTAACTGAGCAAGCAACAAGTGAACATTACATGACTGAAACTGGTTATAAATAGTATCAGATTTTTTCATAGCAATTTGCATGTAAATATTTTGACCACAAATCAGGAAAGTAGTATTACTGCGTTATCCAACACTATATAATAATAATAATAAAAAATAATAATAAATCAACATATATGTCAATGAATCATAATGCCAAAACATGGAAAATTCAGTAGTTAAGAAAAAAGGCTCACCCAGTGGCGGATTTAGAAGTGGTTATTATTGATATCATATATAAACTTAGCATTGCTATAAAATCTATGAAAAATACAAATATAACCCACTGACAAAGACATCTGTATTGTGGCCAACTGATGACCTCATCACTAATGGTAAGTTTACCGGAGTGTCCCTTGTGATATTTTCCTGACTTGTTAACAACTGACCACTAAGTGAAGGCCTTGAGTTGCCTGGCCAGGGTAGAAATAGTGCTGCGGTAGACTCTTGTGCTGATTGACCGCCCTCCACCCCTCCCCCCCCTTGCTCAGGGCTGACGCAGTTGATTGTTAGGGACTCCCCCTCCCCCTTACGTGTCATGGAATAGACTTCACGGATCCCGCTAAATAATAGAATGTTCTCGGGTAAATAAAAAGTGGCTTTCATGGGTTACAATTACACCCTAATTTTAATTTTAATTTAAAAAGTTTGAAAATGCATAACAATAGTGAATGATTCTTAAATAAATTGACTGGTTAGTGCTGAGGGAATGCATTCGCCCTCTGCTCAGGGGTGACGGAGTTGGTTGCGAAAGGTTTAAGCCCCCCCCCCTCCTCACGTCCCCCCCCTATTCCGGCTTCTCACCCTGAGCTTCAGAGATAACTTAAAACAAACCTTTACACTATGGCACACCCTTGTCGTTTCCAGTTACTTGAAACGACAAGGGTTAATTACGATTAATATCTGAAGTTCAGGGTGCGGCTCCAACACCTGTGTGTCAAAACTATCTGAAATCTGAATCTGAAATAGTTTATTCTCATTTACTGTACATTTACAGTTTAGAGAGCATATATATATATATATATACATCAACCTGAAGGCTTGACCCCCTTATTCACAATACTAATGAATTTGTACAAATTATTCAGTTTTTTCTTATTTTTCGTTGAAAATATTTCATACATTTTAATTACATTCGGTCTAATACATGCTTTTTTTGGAATATATAAGTTTCGACTTTCTGCAAAAAAGGTACATCTAAAGACATAATGAAATTCATCCCCTATTTCATTTTTACACAAGTTGCATAATCTCAAATTTCTAGGTATTTTTTTCCATCTGCCCGTTTCAATTGGTAATCTATGATTTGTTGTTCTGAATCTAGCTATTGTAATTATTTTGTGTGTACATAAAGTAGAAAGTATATAATTCCTGCATTTAAACTCTGAGTTTGTGAAAATACTATAGCTTAACCCTTTACTAGAGTTGTTACAATCTGAATTCCATTCTTGTATATACTGATCCTGCAATTTCTGTTTAACACAATTTATAAGCCATTCCTTGTTACAGACATCCTGTGTGCTAAATATATTACTTAAACCACAGTTATCCAGAATGGATTTCAGATTTCCCATCCACTTACATTCACATCCCTGCATAAATTTGTTATAAACGAGTTTATACAATATATATGAAAATTTACTTTGTTTACCTGTGAGCAAGTTTATCCAGAATGATACAATTCTTCCTTTTATAATAATACTTAATGGCATTCTACCTAATTCCCCATATATCATTATCTTGGGAGTGCTGGTTTTTAGATTTAATAGATATCTACAAAATTTCAAGTGCACCTGTTCTATGATTTCTAAATTACCAAATCCCCATACTTCACACCCATATAATAAAATCGGAACAATAATCTTATCAAAGAGATATAGCTGATCAACAATGCTTAGATTTAGATGCCTTGCTTTCTTAAATATCCCATACATAGCTTTAGTTGCTTTCTTTGCTGAATACCTTTTTGTTTCTGAAAATGATCCCGTTTTAGAGAAATAAACTCCTAAGTACTTGAAACAATTAACTATTTCTACATTTTGGTTATTAAAAGTAAATTTTATATTCTTTTGGGTGCGGCCCTTAGAAACTATCATGATTTTTGTCTTTTCTACATTTACTT